TGTCATAGGTTCGCCATCACTGGCCTAGGAAATGTAGTCAATAACATTGTAATAACCATGTACGGTGTCATGTGGGTACTAGAAATATTGGGAGGAACACTTTGTAAAGAATGTGACTGTCTAACCACTATGCTGTGCACCTGCAACTAAGATAGAATAATATTGAATGTGAACTGTAATTGAAAAATAAAGTAAAAGGATGTAAGAGAATTTCATGGAATGCAAATGTAGAACATACAGTTTGGCCTTAAGGAAACTCATTTAAACACAGCCTTGGATGTTTAAAAAAACAATAATAACAAAAAAACCTGACCATTGCCAACATTGGCAAGGATGTGGAGGAACTAGACTTGTCATACATTGCTGGTGGGAATTAAAAATGGTATAGCTACTTTGCAAAACAGTTTGGCAGTTTCTTTAAAAGTTAAACATACACCTACCATACTATCCAGACATTCCATTCCTAGGTAGTTACCCAAGCAAAATGAGAATTTATGTTAGCACAGAAATATGAATAGTTACAGCAGCTTTATCTGTAATAGCCGAAACTGGAAATGGCCCAAATGTCTACAATTAGGTGAATCAATAAACATACTGTGCTATATCATATAATAGCAATAAAAAGGAATCAACTCTTGATGCACAGGACAATATGGATAGCTAATAATGGTCAGTAAAAGAAACCCCTGACCACCACCACCCTCAAAAGTAAATGCTGAATGAATCTACTTATATAAAATTTTAGAAAATGCAAGCTTTTTACAGTGATAGAAATTCCTGGGATTCCCTCATGTAGAAAAAAAACAACCCATTTCTAATGGTTGTCAGTATTGTTCTGGACTGAATTGCTGGAAGAGATTCACAGGACAGATGAGTGGAATGGATAAGACAAGGTTTTTGGACTTGAAAACTTTTTATCTTATTAATTAATGTATTTATTTTGGAGTAGAAAACTTTAAAAAATATCTTATTGATTTTTTACAGAAGGGAGAGGGATAGAGAGTTAGAAACATCGATGAGAGAGAAACATCGATCAGCTGCCTCTTGCACACCCTCTACTGGGGATGTGCCCGCAACCAAGGTACATGCCCTTGACTGGAATTGAACCTGGGACCCTTCAGTCTACAGGCCAATGCTCTATCCACTGAGCCAAACCAGATAGGGCTGGAGTAGAAAACTTTAATCAAAAATTTTTTTGCTATAGAGTTTTTATATATTTTGGATATTAACCCCTTATCAGATAGAACATTCTAAATGATAGCAAGAAAAAGAAACTAGCCTCAGAAATAAACACACAGTCTTCTACTTGGGTATTACTTTGGGTCAATGTGTTTCTAGACTCCACCAAAAGCCCCACAAATAATATAAAAACATCCAGATTCCCCTCAACAACTTTGCAGGGTAAGGCTTCGCCCTGTTTCATGAAACAAGACCAATGTGTCAGTTCAGTAATTTGTCTATCCTCTCCCTCTTTTTATTTATTTATTTTTTAATATATTTTATTGATTTTTTACAAAGAAGAAGGGAGAGGGATAGAGAGCTAGAAACATCGATGAGAGAGATCGATCAGCTGCCTCCTGCACGCCCCCACTGGGGATGTGCCCGCAACCAGGGTACATGCCCTTGACCGGAATCGAACCCAGGGCGCTTGAGTCCGCAGGCCGACGCTCTATCCACTGAGCAAAACCGGTTCGGCTCTCCCTTGTTTAAAAATTGCCACAGAGAATCAAATGTACTAAGCAAAAATAAAAAAATAATCTATATCTATATCTATCTATATATCATCAGTGATTTATTGGAGAGAGCACCTAATTTATTATAAATTAAAGAGGACCTATGAGTTGGACAGTTTCAGAACTTCTCTGTTTTTCTACTTAAGTCACGTGGAAATGTATGCATTATCTGCATAGAATCGTGTGAGAAGACCAGTTTAGTGACCTTTTAACCATCTTCTCTTTCTTAAGGTTTTCAATATCAAAAATCTCTTTTCGCTCTCATAAATGTTCTTGGATTACTGTACAAAGATTGCAGGGGACCTGAGCCTTACAATGACCTTATATAACTTTAAATTGATGACAAAGAAGAATATTGAGATCAATATCTCTGAACTGATGCTTTGGGCAGTGACATGGAAAAGAGATTGATCAACTTACCATGAAACATAGTTTCTGTTGCTACTAAAAGTTTGAAAGATAGCCTCAATATTAAAAAATGATCTTGAATAAAGCAATACTGTTAGTATATCAAAGCACCATAACTGATAAGCTATTTAAATTAAAAATACAAATCTTAAGTTATTTTCCCATAAAAATTCATCAATTAAAGTAACTTTTAAAATGTCATTAACAGATTCATGTTCAAGGTGGTTTTCTAATTAATGACAACTAAATCCATAATACACCTGGTCCCAAGTAGAACTATCCATACTAAATAAAGCAGCACATGTACCAGAGACCTTTAATCATTTGATTTAAAAAAACTTCATGTTTTAAGAACAGATTTAGGTTTACAGAGAAATTGCAAATATAGTACAAAGAACCATTTGATTTTAAAAGCCAACCTCATTGGTCATGAAGGGGCTGCTATCAGTTCACCATCATCCTTCCTGGGTCCCAGAGCCAAGTGCACCAGGTAAGAAGGTGAGTCAAGTCTATCCTGCAGCTAGAGTCACAGATACCTCGATCCAACCTGATCGCATCTAAGTCCTCTGTCTCCTCTACAAGCTACCCAATTCTAAGATGTCACAGCTAACAATTCTCTCAAATCCACTTCTCCTGAAAAGGAAAGGGAAGAGGGGAAAGGGAAAAAAAGAAAAAGGGAAAGAAAGGTGATTTCCAGGCTTTGGAAAAATACAACCCATTTATTTATTTCCCTTTCATAAACAAATGACATAAATTATACCCTGGATCTAGCTTAAGAAACTTCAACTCTAAAATAGTTAAAAAAAAAAACATTACCTCAAAATTTCCTAGGAGACTAAGACTTGTTATAGGTGGAGCACTAGAACTCAGAAATGGTTTTTCATGAATTTCTGGGTCGCCTTCAATGTTTAAACAGGGCCGAGGACTAAAAAAAAAAACAACAAACAAAAAAAGCAAATGGACATATTAACCAAAATATTTTCTAATTTACTTTTGCATTAAATTAATATGATTAATTTTACTTAAACTACCATAATAAAAATTAATTTTAACAAATTTTAAGATGTTAAATATCTAGCTTAACATTCTTGATTAGATTTTATAATCATTGTTATAATATTTTATAAAGAATATATATAACATCCTGGAAGTTTTCATGGTGGAATTTATAACATATCACGTAGTGGCATCTGCTGGAGATATATAATAATGCAGTCTCCTATATCAGTTTTTGTTTTCAGTGAAAAATGAAAATACAAAGGCAAAATTATCTGACTAAAAAATGACAGTATTATATGTCAACTTGGAACAAATGCTGAGGCTTTTTGCAAATGAGTGTAAGGCAAAAGAGGAGGTGAATGACTGGAAATATACAAACCCACTTAAATGTTAAAATCAATGCTAAAGATTTGTTCATGTAGTATTAATTTCTCCCTAACTCACCCTTAATAACTGCATGTGTGACATCACATTGAAAATGATAACCAATTGAAAAAGATTTCTGTTAAATTTGTGATTTTTAGAGCCAACATTATTAATTGTAAAAGGTCAGAATTTTGTGTGATACTATTTCATACACACAAATGGATTTTAAGGAAAATACCTTCTAGACGATAAGCTTTTCAGATGCGGTAATGAAGAATCCAGATCAAAGCAGCCTGACTGTGTCTTTCTTTGAGGAACCTACGGTCAAAGTAATCATTTGTGATATTAAAAAAAAAAGACTATAATTTTTTTCTTGAATTGACAATACTTAACAAATAAAAGCTAACTGTATCTTAAAATAATAAACTTTCTCCCAAAACAGCTTACTTAAGATCATGTTCTTTATTATATACTAGAGGCCTGATGCATGAAAATTCATGCAAGAGTAGGCCTTCCTTCCCCCAGCTGCCAGCACCAGCTTCCCCCTGGCACCCAGGACCCGGGCTTCCCTCCTACAGCCGCCGGCAGGCACCCCGGACCCAGTCTGGCTTCCCTTGGGCCACCGACAGGCACCCGGGACCCGGGATGGCTTCCCTCTGGCCCTGGCTTCATCAGGAAGGACGTCCTGAATGATGTCCGGGAGACATCTGGTCTAATTAACATATTACCCTTTTATCAGTATAGATTGTTTTTATGTTCTTATTTTATTAACTAATATGGGAAAAATGGGATTAATAAAAGCACTTGTACTAGGTTTTTATTATTTTTTAAGAAGCAGAACCAGTTTTTTCTAAAACCAAATCCTACATGGAATCCCCATATAATTATAAGATGTTTTTACTTTACATACTTCTGTATTTTGGGAGCAGAAATAAAAGATTTATACGTTTAAAATAAAAAGGAAAAGAATAATTAAATGGCGATGGGAGCCTGGGGTGGGGCCAGCTGTCTTGCTCCTTTGCCCATTGCCACCACGCTGCACATTTCTAAGACCCTGGGGCTCCATAGCCAACAGATTTGAAAAATACAGCACTCTGCAGTTTGAAGCACCGTTGTATACCAGATTACATTTAACACAAACTACTACCTAGATCAAAATATCCTAAAAATGAAAGATCCAAGTGTAAATTAAAAGTAAAATTATGTACAACATGCAAGTTAGATAGATATTTCTAGAATTAATATTAAGCATATATAAGTATCTAAGTTATCAGTCTAATTGGTGACTACAAAGAAACAGATGACACTGAAAATCTAAACAACTTCAATATTTTTTTAAATGTGCACAATCTTATCAAACACAGTATTTTCAAATATACTTTATTGATTTCAGAGAGGAAGGGAGAGGGAGTGATAGAAACATCAATGATGAGAATATTGATCGGCTGCCTTCTGCACATCCCCTACTGGGGATCGAGCCTACAACCCAGGCATGTGCCCTTGACTGGAATCAACCAGGGACCCACTGAGCCACACTGGCAGGGCCACCTCAATATTTCTGAGAGTTGTGCAAGTACACCATGCAATTTTTTTGGAGTCAGCACTTAATGTGAAATTTTCCATCTAAACTCTCATTCTTGGATTCTAAAAAAGTATCTATCTTTATTTCTTCTAATACTGCATTTTCCTTATTTTATCTGTCCTCCTTTTAGAATTTCTACTAGACTTATATTGAGCATCTCATTTTATCCTCCATCGCTGTCATATTTTACCATTCTCTTCCTTTCTATGCATCATTCTAAGTGCTTTCTTTTGTTTTTTTTCCCCCTAAGTGCTTTCTTAATATCTGTCTAATCCATACACTAAATCTCTATTCAGCTCCACTGTTTAATGCACCTGTATGTGTATGTACACCTGTGTATACTTCAATTATAATAGTTTTTCATATTAATAATGTGATTAGTTCTCTTTCAAATCCACATGCTCTTTCATCTTAACCCCTGTTTTCATCATCCTTTATATCTTAGAATATTTTAAACAATTACTTTTAACTCTCTTTTCAGGTTGCTCTGATAGCAGGATTCCTAAATGTGAATTCTCCCATTTCTTGCTCCTTCTGATTCTTTTGAGGTGCTCTGTAGTGTTTTTCCTCTGAGATAATCTCCAGCAGGAGTTATTTTCCAAGAAAATAAACCTTTGGTGCCATGGGGTATAGATGTGGAATAGTTTTGTGTTTCTTCTGCTAGGACTCAATGGATTTTACCGGTTTCAATTTAGTCTATGGTTGTTGCTTAGCTAGATGTTTCTGAACCTCACAGACAGCACAAATTCAGAACTACCCTGAGTGGCTTAGGTTTAAGGCAAAATTCTTTTGGGGGATTATTTTCCTACCCACTATACACCTCCCTGTTGCACCCTTAAATAAACAGGTGATTTTCCCTTCCTCTCCCAGTTCTAGAAGGTAGTTCTCCCCTGTTTCTAGTTTTATGAGGAGTTTGGTTTTCAGGACCCAGCTATGACTGGAGCAGATTTGCCGCCTTGACTCCTGTCCCACGAAGGCCATTAAACCCCAGCACTATCTTCAGTTCAGATACCCGAGAGGGCCGTAATTTGTCCCAGTTAGTACTCAGAGGTGTACCTTTCTTGCTGTTACACTGTATTATGTATTTACAAGTTGTGCTGTCTGATCCAGGATTTCTGTGTTTGGGAAGGAGGAGGCGGTCTTCCTGTATCAGCTCCGTGCACTGTATTGAATGGAGTCTATAGTGCTGCTCACACCAGAGTGCTGCTGATAAATGACTGGCAAACATTTCAGATATTTGCAATTTCTAAATATGAGATCAAAGGAAAATACTTACAGGACTTGAAAGAAGAGGCAAGCCAGTCCGAGGATGAAAGGCTCTGGTTACGGTTCCATCCAAGGAATGAAAATTATGTTTCTGCCAGACAGTTGAATGTTTCAGTGGTATAGTTTTCTGCTAGGAGAAGAATTAGATTTCTATGGTGATTTTTTTTATGTTAGACTTATTTCTACTATCTATTGAGGTATTATATCCTTGGTGGTAAAGGTAATGATCTATATATCCGTATCTTTACACACACACACACACACACACACACACACAAATCAGAAAACAATGTCTAAGCTTTTTCTAAGATGCTAAATAAATTCAAAGAAAGTATTCTAAAGAAAGTATGTTCAAATACCTTATCAGCATACGGTCATATTTATGAATACTTAGATTCTAGCATCTAGAAAGGTAAATTTGATTCTGTTTATTTGTGAAAAAACTCACCAGTAGGAAAAATAGCATAATATTCTAAAATATAAACCTATGTAAATATCAAGAGGCATTCTCAGAGGATATAAGTTGGTGGGGAATGATACAGCAATATAATAAACATAAATTTTAAAATATATCTAATATAGTCACAGTACCATGTTTTTGAAGTGATACAGGAAATAGGCTAATTCTTAAGACTCTAGGTAAGTTTATACCCAAAGATCAAAATTTCATAAAAACACACGAATAAAAATCAGAAAAGACTAATTTGGGTTCTAACTCTACCATTTACTAGCTTTGTGATGTTGGGCAAATTAACTTAACCTTTCCAGGTCTTGGGTTCTCATTTGTAAATTGGAGTTAATAACAGAACATAACCTTGGCCGGGTAGCTCAGCTGGTTAGAGCATCGTCCCAATAAGCCAAGGTTGCAGGTCCGCACACTGACAGAACAACTGATCAACAATAAGTTAAAATAAATTTTATTTATGACTCCTATTTACTCTCCAGCAATGGTTCATAATATTGAAATAAACAAAAAAGGGGCAACAGAAAGAATGTACCTAGCATTTGCTCTTCAGTGAGTGGGTTATTTGCAATGATATTAATACTAGTTCTGTAGCAGGATTATTACATCAACTTGTATGTTCTATAGATAATGGGCACCTTGCGCCTTATAACTAGACCTCCTGTAAAGAAAGTCCACACCAAAACAGATGTTTAAGAATTATATTTGAAATATTAGATATTACTTACCAACACCTCTGTATTTTTCAGTTGGTCACATGTAGACAAACAGCCATTTAAACTCTTTCTCTGAGGACAGTTTTGAAATTTTTCATCAGTTGAATCTTCTTTCTTATCCTGTTTGTTTTTTAATTGGTCTTGTCTTTTGCATTTGAAATCTTCCTTATCCTTATTGAGATAATTTTCTATACTATTAAGTTGCATATTTTGCTCATATGTTGTAGGCCTTTTTAAGTCTTTATTTGAGCACTTGTTCTCACGTTTGTTCAAATATCCAGACATTTCCAATGTAGTAACTTCTATTTTCGAGTCATTATTTTTGGGCTTATCAAATTGGTGATTGTTAAAAGATTCTGGGCTACAATTTTCATTTTGAATTATTTTTTCCTTATTCTTATTTGTGCAAATCTGTTTGTCAACACCATGGCCATTTGAATACCGTTTATCAATTCCATTGCTAATTTCTTGCTCCTTAAATGGACACTCAGAAAGTGTATTTTCCAACCTGATTGTCAAAACTAACTTATCTTCTTTGCAATGGGACATATTTGAGGGAGCCGATAAACTAGTGGCTTTGTTCTGTATCCCCTGAAATGTACTTTGGATGCCTTCAGTAGGATTGTCCTGATACAGATTTCTTCTCATTTGAGGTTTCGAAGAGGACTTGACTTTACTATTGCATTTAAAAGAACTAAGAGATTTAGTAGGTATTAAGCTTTCCCCTTCATTGCAGTCTTCTAATAAGGAACATTTTGTATTAGAAATGGAAACAGAGGCATCATCCTTGTTTTTCTTCAACAAATTTTTGTCTTCATATGAACTCCTAAACACTTTAGAAGGAACCAAAGTAGAGTCATGAGCGTTGAACGATTGCCGGGGTATACGTGATGCTGCTGGGTCAATGTGCTCCAAGTGCTGAGCAATCCTTGCAATCACATCTTGCCGCTCCTGGAGTAATGAGCCTATTAAAGGGTTCGTCTCCCCGACAGACCGATGAGAATAAAGACCATTAGCAGTACAAGTTTCACTTCGAGGAATTTCTGGCTTTACTCGAATCTTCCCCTCACTGCTGTCTTCTGAGGAGGTAAGCTCTGGACTACCGAAAGAAATGGAGAAAGTCTCTTTACATTTTCTCACATTTTCATTTTCTTGTGAAACCCGGAAAAGTTTTGAATTAACTGAACTAGACTCTTGAGTATTAAACACAGGTCCAGAAACATGTGAACTGCTTGGATCACAATGGATCAAATGCTGAGCAATTCTTGCAATAACTTCTTGTCGATCCTGAATTAAAGAGCATACTAAAGAATTAGTCTCACCAACTGACTGCCAGGAACTCTGGCGACTGGGGACACTGGAATCAATCATTGAAAATGATTTTAAAGTCCTCTCTGATGTTTCATGTGACTTTTTATCTCCTGTACCACTGAAGCCCACAAGGTTGGCTTGACAAGTTCCATAGTCAGATTTACTGCCAGTGCCTGGATACAGTTTGCCATTTTTGACAGCTGCAGTGTATTCTGGAGGGGTGCCACTCTTTGCATGTAATACGCTTTCAGGTGCCACGGTCCAAGTCTGCTTGCTACACACACGCTGTGAACTGTTTGTACTACACTGTTCTGCTTCGTTAGAATTGTGGTGCTGATGGGCTTTAAGTTCATGTTCTTGAATTCCTTTCTCATAAAGGCCAATATTAGTATGAATACTACACGTCAAAATTGGGTAATTAGATTGTCTGGGCAAGGACTGAACGCTGACTTTCAAGGCCACATTGTGAGAAACATTGGGAACAGGAAACACATGTTCAATTGGAGTCTGTGAAAAATTCCACTGCAGGTCGACATCAGCAGCACTGATTCTAGAATCACACAGAAAAATATGGAATTCATGGGTTATGAAAATCATTACTGTATATTATTTTTAAAAATTTTAAACAGTCATATACTTATCTTTGTTTGCATTAATTATGATTGAGGTTTTGCTTTTGGCTACTTTGCCATGCATGTCATTCTGACAAAACCAACAAAAGAAGTATAGATTATGTTTCAAATACTAGTAGAGATGATCTTCTTTTTAAGAACACTAGACCGACCACCACGTAAGCATTAAAGCTCAAGAATATTATAATTTAAAATGACCTGTCAGAGCAGAAAGAATAAAAGGACTTTGTATTTACCACTAAATAATTGGATTCAGCTAATTCTATTGTGCAAGGTGATTAAGAGATACTTATCTCATGGCCACCTACCTAAAGAGACAATTATAGATAGTTGTTCAGCAGTTTGTATGTGTATAGTTATCAAAATGGCAAAAATTAAGAAAGCCTGCCATTACAGAAATTCAGCAGCCCTGAACGTTTTTCTACTTTATTTATAATGGCAGCACTAAGTTCAATGTTGGTTCTATAAACCAAGCATAAAAGTTCTCTGCAAACTATTTCACATCAAATATAACCTGAGAAACAAAACTCATACTGATTCATATCAACATTTCTGTAACTTGTTTTGAGAAAAATGCCAGTAAATTTTATCCACTTATATTTAGAAACGAAAGAAATAAAATACTGAAAAGGTAAAATATCATTCAAGAGCTAACCAATGCAGTTGAATACACACTGCTCTTTTTGTGCCTACACATACCTGTAAAGAATATTTCGTGGAATAGCACCATGAGAAACACTCAGCCAAGCACTTAACTGAGAAAAAAACACAAATGAGCGGACAGCCAATAGAAGGGTCTTCTCTTCAATAAATCGATCGCTACTCCTAAGGGAAGTAAAAAAAAAAAAAAGCATCATCTAAATGTCAGCAAGTAAGTCAAAATAACTGAGTTTTTGATAGAGAGAAGCTGAAACAAACATACGCCTCAGGATGTCTGCTTTCAAGAGCATAGCAGTAGATTTACCGATTGTCACTTGAAGTTATAACTGTACTAAATATCTACAGTTATATCTGTACTAAGTGTCTACAGTTATATCTGTACTAAATTTTACTACATAAATAGAGGGATTCTGAAAAAGTATATATTATTACAATATTATACAAAAAGTTGCGGGAAACCTGATTTACCAAGGACAACTTGAAACTCAATTGTACAACTTACTGTCGAGGAACTGGCTCCAACACCCATCTTTCTAGTAATAATGCGTCTTGCTTAATTGCAGGGTCGTTGAGGTCCACACCGTCCGTGGTGGGCCCCTCGTCACTGTAGCAGCAGTCTGGCAGCAGCATCACCTCCACCATGATCGGAAGGCTGTTCTTCCACAGCAGCGCGACCTCAGACCTGGTTCGTCTGGCTTGGCGACACTTCGAGAAAAAGAATATAAGCCAAAGGTCTCAGTAAACCCCACAAGTGTATATTTTACTTTGAAAATTATAATTGTAAAGTACATATCTGTATGAGAATGAGTCATCAACTGTAGAATTCGCTTAGATTTGCCTATTTAGGTTTCCTCACTAAATAATGAATTCACACCAGTGAGCTCTAAAGTTCAAGGATTGGTTTTGAACAACATTTATGACGCAAATTTTCTGGTGGGGAGGGACATCTTTGCTCTTTCTTGAGGTGGCCTAGCATTGCCTAGTTTGTTAATTACATCATCATTACAGAGGAAGCGAAGACCAAAATATTACATACTCATTTTCATTAAATGCTTAATATATACAAGATTAAGTCTATACAATATATACCAGTTAAAATCTTTGGACTACATTTAAGAAACTAACTGGGGGAAAAAATCCTTACGGCAAATTAGTACTTACCAAAATAAATATTTTAACCGTATTTTATCCCTAAACATTAATATGATAGCAAAATGCATCCACCCATTTAAAAAAAAAGAAATATAGAAATTTGGTTAATGTGGAGAAAATAATTATTAACATCAGTCCACTAAATAAATAAGAACATAAAGTCGATGAGCCAGGGCTGAGACTCTAAAAGAAAGAAAGCTGAATCAGCAGCAAATAGAATGTTAAACCTGGTGTGTGAGAAGGCAGGTCTGAAATGGGCTGCCCACCTGCCTGCTGATCAGCAAAACTACCCAGTGCCTCCCAGAGCTGGTTCAAGAGCCAAGGTTGCTGGCTATGGTCCAGGTTTAGGATTTCTTCGTTACGGCTGTGACCGATTTTATATTTAAATGTGGGCATTATAATTGCAGTGTAACAAAAGCGATGACAGAACCTGTGTAGTTTATATAAAAGGTAAATAAAAAGCTCTCAACACACAATTCTTACCTGGGCCAGCTTGTCACTGCACTCATGTTTGGTGGTTACTGGGTAACAGGACTGGGCTGGAGGGCAATGGAAACTTTCTGAACGACCTTTTACAGAACATTCAGGTGTGCGTCCTTCTGTTATTAACAAGGCCAAGGAGACCAAGAACTCCTCTGCATCGTATTCAAAATATTCATCTAGGGTATCTGGTATTTAAAAAAGAGAGAGAGAAAAAAAAGCCCTTGCTTTAATGAACGCTCTTGATAAGAACTCATCTTTTATGTCCAAAATAACTGTCACATTCCATACTCAAGTATATTCATTAACAAAGGACTGAAAAGAGAATAAAAATGAGGCAATTAAACTCCTGATTCACAAGGTACACAGAGTCAGGAGATGATGCATAATTCAAAATTCCAGTTAAGACAAAGCTGGTAAAAATTATGGCATAAAACTGGTTTTATGCAAACTTCAGTTAAAATACCAAAGATTTAGGAATGCCATTTTTAATCCATAATTATGTTTTTGGATGTCAAGTATAAGAGTTTTCACACAAAAGCCTTCAACACTAGCCAAAGGTTAAAGTGTTTTATTGTGTCACCGTTTAGGCTGAGATGTTTTATTACTATTATTAAATACTAGAGGCCTGATGCACGAAATTCGTGCAAGGGCCTTGGCTCCAGCCCCCGCCACCATGGCCAGAGCCTCTGCCGTCTCTGCCTCAGCACCTGCCCGCTGCGGCTTTGTTCGGAAGGAAGGATACCCGGAAGGATGTCCAGTCTAATTAGCATATTACCCTTTTATTATTATAGATCAGGAAAATATGCAGATCCAGATGCATGCCTCTTCCCCTTTTCTCCCTTCTCCCTTCCTTAACTAGTGCCTTATTTCCGAAGCCCTAACTCTGTGATGTGGACACTTGTAGCCACAGGGATCTTCTCTGCCTTTCCTAGGCAGTAGTAGCAGTTTCAGAGGGAGAAATGCTATAATTATCCAGCAGGCAGTGCAGGCCTGAATTGCTAGACATAAATTGTGATATTTTTTGGTTACTACGCAGTTCCAAACAATCTAACCTGCAGGTATTTTCACTTATTTTCAGTAATTTTTCAATTTCTTACAAGTGCTCTAATTTTTAAAAACAGATTACTTTCAAAATTTCTATCTTGCTACACAGATTGAACATGCATGCACATGTACACACATGTGCACACACAAAATTCAGTTTGTTGTGCAATCCAATTAAGCAACATATTTTTTTAAAAAAAAATATATTTTATTGAGTTTTTACAGAGAGGAAAGGAGAGAGATAGAGAGCCAGAAACATCGATGAGAGAGAAACATCGACGAGCTGCCTCCTGCACACTCCCCACTGGGGATGTGCCCGCAACCAAGGTACATGCCCTTGACCGGAATCGAACCTGGGACCTCTCAGTCCACAGGCCGACGCTCTATCCACTGAGCCAAACCGGTTTCGGCAGCAACATATATTTTAAGTATGTGCCTGCTATACTGTGTTAGGCCCCAGGTGGACAGAGTGCTATATTTTACATAGCTCTTAATCTTTTACATAGCTCTTAATCTATTAAAGACAAAGAGAAGACTGCAACTTTTAATATATTCCAAAGAAGTTCAGATTGTGGTAAAATTTTGCAAAAGAGATAGCTGTTGAGCAGAACCATGAAAGAAAAAGTGCAACCTGAGTGGAAAATGTGGAAATGGCAGGACTGGAGATGGACCTGAGCAGCCTTGACAAGGGAGCCTGGAGAATGCCACTCACGCAGGCTCACCAGGAAAGAAGGAGCCTTGAATGCCAACTTGATTGAACTGGTATTTTAAGACCATTTAGAAAGTTTCCTTAAATTGACCATTTATAACACCTACAATAAGAGCTAACAATTAGTGACACTGTCAAGGTACTACCAGTTTTAAGTACTTTCTACACATGAACTCGTTTAGTCTTCAGATCAGCTCTAGAAGGTGAGAACAATTACCACCCTTTTATGACAGCTGAAGCACAGAGAGGTTAAAGAAGCATCTGTGTAAGATCACTGAGCTAAAAAGCAGCAAAGATGGAATTTGAACCTATACAGTCTGGCTCTAGAATCTAGATTCTTAACCACCCCATACATGTCTTCATTCACTCTGGGTATAAATTTTGTTTCATATACTTTAATATTATGTTTATAAAATTATAAATGAAAATAATATCTATTCAACATATATCTCAATAATACATTTTGGAATATTTATGGTATAGAATTAGTTTCCAGGAACAATACCCTAATCTATATATATAAAAGGCTAATATGCAAGTGTCCCCTTGGGAGTTCAACCAGAAGAATGGGAGTTTGATTGCTCACTATGACATGCGCTGGCCACCAGGGGGAGGTACACAACATGGCAGGCAACCAGTGTTGGTGGTGGGGCGCTGAGGGAGCAAAGGAAGGAGGAGGCAGAGGGGTGGGGGAGGCGGGGAACCTGACTGGCCCTGATCGTGAGCTAGGCCTAGGGATCCTACCCATGCACGAATTTTGTACACTGGGCCTCTAGTTTATAAAAATGTGCCAATGGGGGGAAAAAGAAGAGGTCTCTACTTTCAACTCTCCTCCAGGGCCCAATGAGGTCATACATAAATCAGGCGTTTCCTGTGTTCTCCTGGGACTCACCAAGGTAAATCATGGTGTCCTTCAGAGGGGAGCAAAAGACGTAAAAAGGACTCCATTCAGTCTCTTGCTCTGCTGCTTCTGCAGGTTTTCAAGGCCAGTTCAGGCTTACCTTGGGCTACATGGCATGCTAGCTCCTAGGATATTTCTCTGGGCTCATCCTGGTCCCTTCCTCAGTTTGTGGTATAATTCTGGGGAGCTAAGAACTGTGGCAGAGCAGTGGCTCCTGATCTATGGAATGCTGAGTGGTGCTCAGCTGTCAGCTACCAAGGGTGGCCCACAACCTAACTAATGTCTCATATTTATGTGCTACTTAAAAAAAAAAGTATAGTATTTCTACTGCTGAGAGAAAACTACCCAGTCAGATTAGGTAGGAGGGGGAGGGCATGTGTAAAGGGGAGTATGAGAGAGTGTTTTTGTTGTCTTTTGGGCTAACAGGACCTTTCCCTCATTATCCTTATGCCTGCAAGAGTATAATTCATCTCCAAAGCACCAGTAGGAATGGCTTACTTATACATTAAGAATCATCACATTTAAAGCAATAAAAACTGCATTATTATAAAAAAGAACTTTTGAATAATACAACATTTGACTAAAATTGGGTTATTTTGGTCATTATCTCCTCAGATAGTAAACTCCAAAACCATGATCTGAAATCCTTTGAATGACTTATTGAACTTAGTCAAGTAGTGAATATTTATATGAAATATTTGAAAGAAAGATTAAAGATGACAGCAGTTATCTATTAGTTAGCTATGTAACTGTTACATAAGCATTGCAAGGAACAGTATGAACCATACAATGGTATTATGAAACACATAAAATACTACCTACGTGCATGTGACTATGTGATGACAACCTTTAGAAATTTGTCAGGAAAAATTTATGGGTGTCTGAATTTTAATTAATGAGAATATTAATCATTAGTCATTAGAAAAGTTGCACAGTTTAAATTTGATAATGCCAACCTCTAAAATACCAGGGAGCAGAGTTTACTGTAGTAAAGAATATGAATAGCAACTGGGAAATATCATGTCATGCTAAAGAAAACTCAATAGATATAACTTGATATTTTGATGATATTAAAGACAAACACAACATAACTTACTCCAGAAATAAGTTATGATTTCAGGACCTCTACAAACAATTTACCTTTACAAAAACAAAAAGTGTTTCAAATCTAGACAGATGTGGCGAGGCTTACCTACTAGTTACACATTTTACAAGAGATAAATGATTTAGAAACTATAACATTGAAGAAAACGAAGAATTTTATCATGTTCCACAGGCTATGAGAGACAGGTCATTGGGGATTGGAAAGTAATCAATCACAACATCATTCGGAGCCCCTCTCCTCCAAGACCTCCATGAGGGCTGTGCTTACACCACCGTCTGGCTGAGAGCCGTGTCTGGACTTGCTGCTTTTTAGTGACATGCTCGCCTGGCTCTGGAGTTTACCCATATTCTTAAAGTTTGCCATCTTTTCTGTCCAACAAAAAAAAGGTGAACAATTTGGCCACTGGAAAAACTGTGAACAATCAGAGTGGATCCACAGACAAATCCACTCACTTGGGAAGTAAATTCTTCATCACAGGGTTCAAGAACAGACTGATAAACAATTGTCAGGGGTGTCATTGAAGGGATTTAAAAATGTTTATACCAGTTTAAAAAAATGGAATAAACGTAAATGTCCAATAATATGGGACTGGCTCAATATACTGTGATACATATCTAAAATAAATCCACTTTTGACAAGATATCTACAGTGTAAGCGAAAACACAATGTTTCATAAGAATGTTGATTATGTGTTCATGGTATACATAGGCATACATGCAGTGAAAGATATACATACTAACAAACTATTATCAGTCCTATAAAGCAAACACACAAACATAAACTGCATATTATTATTATTATTTAATTGGTTTTAGAGAGAGAGAAACATTGATGTGAGAAACACTGACATGTGCCCTGACGGGGAACAGAACCTGAAACCTTTGGGTGTATGGGACAATGTTCCAACCAACTGAGTCACATCCTCAAGGGCCATAAGCTAAATTTGAAATAAATTACTATTGTCTGACTAGGATTAGATAAATGATAAGGCCTATTAATTGAAAAGTGACACATAAATAAAAGCATTACCTAGTGTCATGTACTTTAATTAATTAGTTGTTGTTTTGTAGAACCCCCACTATGTTTGGTTACTTAACATAGGAATTTGTGACCTTCCTCTTTCCTCTTTCCTCTTGGAGCTTGTGGAGGCCTGCTGGGAACAGGGCTTGTAAAACAACAAAGTGTGTGGAAGGCTGGGGTCCAAGGCTCTTTTGCAGGCTATAAGTGGGGTCTCTGGAACCAGGAGGAGCACACAGCTCTTCTTAAAACGGAAGGTGTTTAGAAATAAGCCAGTCAGAGAAAGACAAATACCATATGATCTCACTTATATGTGGAGACTAATGAACAAAATAAACTGATGAACAAAATAGGAACAGAGGCATGAATAGGATATATGGAACAGACCCACAGCTGTCAGAGGCGAGGG